TGAAGCCAATCAAATAAAGCATCCTATAGCTTTTTATTTTTAGTTTCTTTCTCATCTGGTATATTTTTTTTAAATTCAGGTAGAAACTAAGTGATGTTAAAAAAAGATAAAGGAAAAGCAAGTTTCAAGTTGGAGCGTCTGAGCTGGTTATTTCTCCGGCTCATGAAGGACCTAGGTTGTTTTTCTTTCCTTGCTTTTCCATCTTCCATGGGTCAGCTTAGCTGTTCCCCAAAATCACCAGTTGGTGGCCATAGTGTAGACGTCCTTTGTAGCTCATGACGATATCAAATGGGAAACAGGGCTCTATTTCTTCCTGTGCATCTTTTTAATCTCCCAGTGGACTTTCCCCTCTCCTTGGCTAGAGCCAAGGCTCCTGCTTGCCACTTAGCAAGTTGTTGGCAAGAGTTCCATGATGGGCTCAGACCATGCTGCAAGTGAGACGCCTGCACAGAATTGATATTCTATAGGCACCGAAAAACAGAGAATTGTATTGTGAGTGTGCAACTATCAGGGTCTACTGTACCGTCCTAGATGACATGCTTGGTGTTTGTTTTATATGACAAGGACAATTAAGGGCAATTAAGCAAGCACACCAACAGAACAGAAGGGTCCTCAGCACCCGTTTGTAGGTTTTGAACTGGGAGATACATGATTGCTGCTAACGCACATCCTCAGTGTGTGACTGACACAGAATAACCACGGTGATCGTGAGGACAGGCTCAGCCATTTGCCAGCCAAACTGCCTGAGATGAGCTATGTGACTTTCTTCAGCTTTATAGAATTGAGGAATTTACAGAATTACAGGTGAAATAGGAGCCATAAAGCCTGGCACTGGCGTCCAGTGCATAGTTAGCAATCAATGAGCACTGCGTGCTGGCTTGGTGGCATCAGTGATGATAATGGGCTGGACGTGGCTTTGTGCCTCTCTCAGCAGCTGCTGGTCCTTGCTTGCGCCCTTGCCACTGGCCAATGTTGCCTCTCCTGAGTCTCTATACATCAGTCAGTGTGGTGCGTTAAAAATATATAATGCTAATGTCATTGCCTTGCTGAAAACCTCCCAAGACACGTAAAATCAGATCTCCAGTCCTATTTATATATTCTTAATTTTGAGACTATGTCACCAGATTCCCAGACTAAGTTTGAACTTGGGATCTATATTCCTGCCTCAGCCTCCCAGAGTGCTGGTGCAGCAGAAAATACCCCACCCCACAGCCGCATACCACAGTTTCTTAGTTGCCCTGGTAACAGTTCATGTTCTAGTTCTGGTTGCTTCTAGTCTCTTAGAAACAGCTGGTCACTGTGATGCCTACTGATCACTATGATGTACACTGTATAAACCAATCCCCAATTGACAAACCAGTCTGTCTCTGTACTTCCTGCTTGCTTATTTTGTGTGAGTTCTAGACCACCAGAGATCAGGGCCTGATATGCTGGGAATGATCCCCATCAGAGCCTGTTGATGTAAAAAAATCTGCCTCCGGATCCTGGGTGTTGCTTCCGTGTTTCTGCTTGTTGTTGCGCTGGGCTTAGATGCATGTGTGACCACACCTGGCTGTGTTGCCCTTCTGAGTAAACGGAGCTGGCTCCTGCCTCCGCCCCCACCAGGCTCCTGTCATCTCTCCTGTCCTCAGGAGGATGTGATACTCTGTGGCTGGGAGGCGTGGCTTCTCACCCAAATTCTGCCTGTGTACACTGACTTCTTAGGGTAGTAGAGCTTTGTTTCCTCCTAGCTCCACTTCCTTTCTTAGATTGATTGCAATGTCACTGTGGCCCTTGGGAGTTTGATGGGACATTTGTCTGAAATAATATTATGGAGAAAGGTTTCCCTGTTCATCTCCCTCCACAACTTCCTTTCCATCATCATGTCTTCTCATTTAACCCAACTTCTTAATTAAAATTCCTATTTTACATCACTTCTTCAGTGCTTTGAAAACCAGTTATGGCTTAAGCAAACACCTTACTTGTCTCTATGTTGACTCCTGTTCTCCCTAAACCAAAGTTCAAAACAATTATTTCTGAGTATGATTTCAGGTCTGAGATTTTGAATTTATTGCCTGCATTCCCTGAATTTCTACATGAATCATCATTTAAGAAATCAGCATTAATATTAGACTTAGGGGAAACCTTTAACATCATGGCTTTTTAAAAATCAGAGTGGCCCTATAGAAATGCTAGCATAAAAAAGGCACTGACTTTTGGAAAAGTCCTCTTAGTATATCTACCCACCATTGGGCCCTTCCCCAACTTACACTCCACAGCAGAAGAGACAAAACCCTAGAAGGGTGTGACTGATTCAAGCTCATGGAGCTTGAGAGGGGCATGGGCAGGTCAGGGATCCAGTCATGGTGCCACCCTTGCTGGGGGGCTTCCAAGTATGAGGCTGCTTCTTCAGTAAGTGGTATGGCTTGGACTGAAGATGGAAAAGACTCTTTTGTGCCAGCTGAAGAATGTTAATTTATGCCAGATGAGCAAGACAGCTTCCTGTCTGTCCCGTCCTTCTCATATGACTTCCCAGTCTGGCTTCCAGTGAATACTTCTGAGAACCATCTGACCAATCCATGGTGGATGCCCCAGTGTAACCAGATCCACAGTTTGTGATGGGGACACTTTTGGTTAAATCAAGAGGAAGTATCTTCTTTCCACTTGACCCTATGGCAGTGTGACATTTTGGCTGTCCTGATATATAGCTGTCATCTTAAAAGACCTATCAGGGTCACATTTTTTTGGAGCAGTTTTTGTCATAATTGTGGTTTTGATAGGAACAGAAATACAAAAAAATTTAAAACTTTATGTAAAAATATTTGGGGTCTTTAAGCTTGATCCTTAGAAGGGGATTCATACCTTCCCTTTGTGGGTCTCTCGATCTGTATGGCTGAATCCTGCACTGGTAGTTTAGGTTGAAGCAGAGGACAGGAATCCGAGGGCCTCTGTTCCAAACTTACCGAGCTGTGTGAAATTCAAAATTTAATTTTGTTTTGTTTGTTTGCCAAGAAGCTTAGTTGGCTACTGAGAAACAGTACGCTTGCAAGTTCTGAAACACAGTTTCAGGCAAATTCTGAATTTTTCTGTGCGAAATCTATCCTGTTTTCCAATGTGGGTGTATTATTAAACCAAGAATTGCCCTGGGAGGTGAAAGCCAGCGCAATTCAAAGAGGTGTCAAAGTCCACAGGCATCTGATGCTGCTTCCCTGGAGGCTGCTTCATTTCGTCATTTGCACTTCACCGTTTTTTTTTTATTCCAAGGTGACTTTTTTTATTCCGCCCTTATTTTATGCACAGTGGTCACACCAACTCGCTTCAGGAGTTACCATCATCTCCAGGAGATAGCCCGCACATCTGGTTTGTAAGTACATTCTCCCCTTCACTGGAAATCTAGAAGTTGTTGTTTGCTGCATTAAACGCAGCTATTTCTGATCTTGGTCCTTCTATGGAGCCTAACTTACACATGACCTTGAGTTATTAAAAATCAAAAAGCACCCCACATCCTGCGTTGATTATGTCATATGGCCCCCAGGCTGACTAGAGACCTGCTCAGAGCTGAGAGCAGGGCCCCTTTCCACGCCCCATCTTGTCCTTGTCGCAGAGAGTGCTGCCCCAGCTTCTGAGCAGTGGGGCTCTGTCTCCCAGACCTAGAATTCAGTTTCAGAAGGGTGCATGGTACATTTCCAAGCTTCTCTGCTTCCTCTTTCCAGGCTTTCCTTTCCAATATGGAGAATGCCATCTCTCCCCAAATCCAGCTGCAGAGAATCTGGCCTCCAGCCAGCCTCAGAGATCCACTCACGGGCAGCCTGGGCGATGATTCATGATCTCATGCTGGCCAAGGTCCAGGGGCACCAGGACTAGAGTAACCATTATCTTTCTGAGTACAAATCATGGTCTCTAAATGGGAAGTCACAACAGATCAGGACCTGGAAGTCACCCAGGTGTTGTCCAGCCCCTCAGTTTAGCAATGGGAAACATTGCTGTGACTGTGACTGGCTCTGGGTCACACAACTGGGCAGCGGTAGAGAGAGGACTGGATCCCAGGTGGAAAATCTGTGTGAAGTCAGGGCTGCGCTGGCCCAAGTGCTGTGCAGGGGCTGGTACAGTGGCTGGCACGTAGGCAGGGCTCAGTCGAAGGAAAGAACAAGCGTTGAGACCTCTTCATCCACGTCAGCCCTCTTTCATTCTTCCCTTTCTCTTTGTGTTTAACCCATTCCTCAGAAAACCCTCTTTCCCTCCTGCGGGTCAGGAGAGACACCAGATGCATAGACAACACACTGGTCCCTACAGCCATAAGTCACCTGGCACCCACACACCCAGTCCTCAGAGGGGCTCCTGGCTATGGCAGCCCTGGACTAGCAGGCTGTTTCTTCTCAGGTATTATGCCAGGCTACCAGATGCTCATGGGCGTGGTGGGTGCCGGTTGGTATAAAGACCTCTCCAATTTCTTTGGGCTCCATCACTGCTTGTAAAAGCTATGAAGTCGAAGAGAAATCCAGCGCCTGGGGATGGTGTCGGGACAGAGAAAACGTCTTGTTTTAGGGATGAAAAGCCTCTCATGTCAGTTTAGCAGGGCTAGCCAAGTGTCACTCTGGACTGCTCCCTTAATGCCCAGGATCTTCTAAGCTGTTGCAGTTGAGAGAGGACAAATTCTGAAGAGAGAAATAAAAACTTTGCTCTTTCATCACAGGTTGTTGGCTCTCGACAGAGCTGGAGTGTCACCAGACTGTGAACCCAGGGACAGCGCCTTTGGTCTGGGGTACGGCCCTGGTTGGGCTCCACAGGAAATGGCCGCTGGTGGAGACCACAGGTACAGCTGGCAAGCACAACCTCGGGAACCCTGCCCGGGAAGAGCTGGACCAGAGGAGCGCGGTGTGTGCGTGGGGCGGGCTATGGGAGCCAGGGAGTTGTTACCAGCCCCGCCGTGCGCGCCCAGGCGGGGGCCCTCCCGCCCCCTGCAGGCCAGGCTGCCCCAGCGCGCGCAGAGTGCCGGCCCCGCGTGCGCGCCCCGCTGCTCCGCGCACCTGCCGGGGGCTCTGACCCGCGGGCCGGCGGGTGGCGCGCACAGGTGGCGGCGATTGGGCAGGCGGGGCCCGGAGGGTGACGTCACGGGCTCCAGTCCCGGCGGCAGAAATAGGGCAGCCGCGGCGACGGTGGCACAGCAGCGGCCAGCGGCGGCTCAGAGAGCTGGAGCCTCCCCCGCCCGCGAGCGCCCCAGCCCCGCCGACAGCCGGAGAGACCGATCCAAAGCCGCGGGGCCGGTCGCCGCCGCCGCCACCACGGGGCGCCCCCTCGCTGCCGCCCGGATCCGGCCCCCCGCTCTGCCCCTCGGCCCCGGCCGCCGCAGGTAAGCGGGCGCAGCTCCCGAGCCGGCGCGGGGTGCCAGCCGCGAGTCCCGCGGCTCGGCGCTGGGGTCCGGGCGCCGCGGTCGCTGCAGGGCCCGGCGCGGGCGCTCGCCTGTCCTTACTGCCCGCGCCGGGAGAGCCAAGTTTGCGGGTCTGGCCGCGGGCGCGGGACCGCAGAGCCGGAGCTCGGCGGCGCCTTCGGTGCGGGGCAGGACTGGAGGTGCAGGCGAGGGCGCCGCCGGCTTCCGGCCAGGTCCGGCGGGAGACCCGGGCGACCCCGCTGGCGCGCGGGGCGCCACACAGAGTCAGCCGCTTGCGCCCGGCTCCAGAACCCCGCAGGCGCCGTGCTCGGACCCGGGACCCCGGGCGGCCTCAGCGGAGCCGGGCGAGAGGCAGCCCCTCGGCTCGGACCCATCCGGTGCCCCGACCCCCAGCCGGGGCTCAGGGCGGGCGTTGTGCACTGCCTGCCCGCTTTGCGGGGAAACTTGCGTCTCCTCGCTGCAGCCCTCAGGGCGCCCTGCGCCTGGCGGGGCCTCACACCCGCGGGTCCGCGGCGCAGGCGGCTGGCGCCTCGGGGATCTGGGCAGAGCCCTGCGGCTCTGGTGCTGCCGGGCCGATCGCGGTGCGGGCGAGCGAGCGCAAGGCTGCTGTCACTGCTGCGGAGTCTCCAGCGAGCCGCTGGGGACTTGATCCAGAGACGTTGTACCGTGGCTGATCTCTGTCCCTCTGTCCAGCCAAGGAGAGGAACCACTTCCAAGTTTCAGGGGGCTGCGGGCAGGAGGGCAGAGCGCACCGATTTGGGCGCGTGTCACCCGAGTTCGGGGACTCTGCGCAGCTGCCATCGCGGGGCCCGCGCGGCTTGCCCGAGGCCTGCCACCTGAGGACTTCGAGTCCTGCAGCTCCTCCAGGGCGCTGGACCTAGTGCGGTTTCTCACAGTGACCGAATTTGAGGGGGACATCCGGGGCCGCACGTGGCCTCCTGAAAGTTCCTGGGGACCTGGGCCCCGCGGGTCTGCGTCAGGACCCGGAGAGTTGGTCCCGACGCGCGGCCAGGCACTTCTGTCCTGGACACTGTCTCCGGCCGCCTCTCCTTCGCTGCCCTCTAGGTGTCGCTTCCGCCGCGGCTTGGGAAGCGTGAAACAGCGCCAGGCGCTTCCTTCCCTTTGCCGAGTAAATTGGATGCAAGCTGCGCGCCAGGAATTGTACTAGATGGAGCCCTGAGACGCCAGCGGCCGTCCACGTTCTCAGGGCCAAACATAAACAGAATTTCAATAGGAGGTGGCAGGGTAACTGCCGGCCAGAATGTACACCCGAATCCCCCCAAGATTCTGCCTGTGTGTGGGGGGGGTGGGGAGGTATGAGAGGAGGGATCAGAAAGAAATTAGGACTTTTGTAGAAAGTACCAAGTTATCTCTCTACCACCAGCCTTTAGGGAAGCCAGAGGTGATTTTTAACATTGTCTTCTTGATCCCGGGGCGGGACAGTTTCTGAGCTTGCCTGACCTGGGCAGTGACCCCGCCAGGGAGGATTCTCCTGGGAAGCAAAGGCTGGGGAGGCTGCAGCTCAAACCCAGCTCTGCAGGGGCTGCTCTGCTTCTCACCTGGGCCTAGGCGGGGGTACTACAGCATCCCCAGCCCTCGTCTGTGGCTTCTAGCACCGGGCAAGGGACAGAGACGCACCGCAGGTCGTGCAGGAAAATAGTCCACTTGCTGTCATGTATTAAAATTGCTCATTTAATTTGTCCCATTGACTTCTTTTTCCTTAGAGTTTAATTGTCATCCTCAGTTTTTTCCAGTTAATTCCAGTAAGGCTCTCCCCTGCCTCCCACCCCTCCCCAGAGAAGGGCTGGTTTATTTTGCTGGACATTAGGAGAACTTTTATCTCTCTGTACCAGGTGTGTGCATATCCCTCCCCTGTCCATTCCCATCATGTGATTCTCCTACTAAGGACTGTAAGACCTCCTAACTAGTGACCTCGTGCTGTGGTCTTTTGTTTGATTTAGCACAACCCAGAGACTGATGTTAAACAGTAAGGACTTCAGATCTACCTAATTGCTTGTTTCTTGGAATATTTTTTTTCTGTGCACTCAGCTTTCTTGTGTTGCTTCCATGTGGTAAATCATATGCTACCTAACTTAATGAAATTTCAAGAGCATATCTTTTCCTCACATTCTCTGCCCGTTAAAGTGTGCTATGAGCCATGGAATGTCAAACAAAATAAAATTACAGCAAAGAAATGGCACTAAAGAGTTATATTTTGAAGGCTGGAAGGATAAGGGATTTTGGAAGTAGGTATGCATGTGAAACTTTGCGGTAAATAAAAATAGCCATGTTGTGTGTTGTACCTAGAGTGATGTATGCCTCTAATGTATCAATTGTTGGAAAAGGCAGAGTAGATAATTAATAGCAAATGCAATTTAACTGCATTGTGGCTTGCTGCAAGATTAACCTAATATATTTTCATGACTGTTTCCCCCAGGTTGGTATTTTAGGGCCTCTCTCAGGAAATCTGAACCATTTTCTTTTTTCCTAAAACACTCATAAATTAAAATTAGGGTGCTAATCCTTTCCAAAGAAATGACCATCTAGTCTCCGAGATTGTTGTGCGGTGCCCTCCTTCCCTGGCTGCTTCACCGTGGGATGGACAGGCAGAAGAGGACCACTGGGTTTTGATGCTTCCTGCTGATCTCTGACTGCCAGCCTGCCGTGTGTACAGTGCAGGCAACAATGATTTGCTAAAGCAGACGGTTTTTCACTCAGAAAGTTAGGAATGCAGATGTCAGGGTCACTGGGTCAGAGGCACATTCCACCTAACAGAGCGGTTCTAACATAGGAAAGGGATGCGCTAAGTATGTCTGCGCTTCTCCCTGGCCTCTGGCTCTGCTTAATAAAGATAGTTACATGCTCGTGTGTGTTCTTTGGGAATTTTCCTATTAATGCCTCTATTTCCCTAACAGGTTGTATTTTTAGATCACATTTTTTCAACTTTCTTCAACAAACCAAAGTTGTTACATTATAGTAATTTGTAGCAGCTCTGCAATTTTAAATGTAAAAAAGAATAACTCCAATAGCACCAAAAACTCCTGTGGTTTTCACAAGGAGCGAATAAAAGTCTAGAGAGAAGGCAAACTTACGCTGTCTACGCCCAGGTAGCGAATGCTGGGGTTTTAGTCTGGGTCCGGCCACGGACTCGGCTTCACACTTTAGGTGGCTTCCTCATGCATACGGTCTCTGGTATCCTTTGCACACCGCAGCCGGACTAAAGCTTGATTCTCCCGGTCTCAGAGAAGTGGTCAGGCTCCTGTGGGAAACTGCAGAGAAAATGGTGAAGTACCCGGCTTCCAGTTATTATTAAATAACTGTATTTTCCAAGTTGTTTGGACGGAAAGGTAGTTCCAACTCTGTGGGGAGTCCTGAGTAGGTTTGTAGTCAATGCTGAAGACTTAAGGCAGGATTGAATGAATCTTATAAACCTAACTCAGTCTCCAAAGGAGCCCCAGGTTGAAAGAGCTGTGAATGCACGGACGGCGCTTTCCTAGCTCTAATGAGGACCCTCATCTGTTCTCCTCCTCTGAAGGCCAGGGGGGCTGCTGGAATTTGAGGAGGAAAATTTAGTTCCACGAAGTGCTCTGTGCTCCCTGTGAGCCGAGGGGCCCTCTCACCGCCTGCAGTTCTATGCAATTTTTCTTGACTTGTTTTTACCAACTCTTTTTTTTTTTCTTCTCTTGACCCACAAATGGAGCAGCAGAGGCAGACAGAGGAGAGTAAGCTAAGGAGTCTCGTGGGGCGGAGTGCGGGACGGTGACAGTTTGGCTCCTTCTGGTTGCTGCATCTGGGGCTTTGGTTGGAGCCATCACAACTATAGGGGTCAGCTCTTCAGGGGCCAGGAGAGACTTGGGGCCCCGATCTCCAAACTGGCTCTGTCTGTATTTCCCCCATAAGGACAGCTGTTTAGCAGGATAAACTCTTGCTGAGGGTCAAGAGGCAGCTGAGGAGGAGATGGGAGTTAAGAGTCTCTCGGCTCTGCCACTTACCTGCTTATGCCCTTGGCGGACTTGGTAAGGTCTCAGTGACCCTGTGCATTTGTCACGTGATGGAAAACCCATTGCCTTCCTCCTGGAGTAGCACACTGAGGATTATGAGTTAGTGAAGCTGTTAGAAATGGTGTCTGACACTTAGTAATTGTTTTGTGTTAGGCAAATAGCTACTGTCTATTTGGTTATTAGACAGATCATCAAAATTGATTTAGACTCAATATTAATTCGTCTTTGTGGACTGAACTGTCTTAAAACTCGAGCTGTGAATTTTAGGCTGTTGCTACTATAGATATAATGAGCTGTCAGTCACTGCAAGTTTAAGTTGACATCTAAGACACTGTGTAAATGAAACCAGACCTACTTACTGGTGGCCAAACAGCGCTCAGTTTTACAAAGAAGCTGCTTAGGATTATTTCATTAGTTGACTGAGTCACATATTTCCTTGTCTTCAAATAATTGTGGGTAGGATGTGCTGAGGGTTGAACCCAGGACTTTCACACTGAGCTACATTCCTAGTTCTTTTTTAATTTTGGGACAGGCTGGCCGGAGATTTGACTCAGCAGGTATAAGCGCCTGCCTGGCAGACATGAGGTCCTGAGTCTGATCCCCAGTTCCTAAAAAAAAAAAAACAACAAATTTTGGGAAAGGGTTTCACTCAGTCACTGAGTTGCCCTGGTGGTTGGGCTTGAACTCATGATCTTCCTGCCTCAGTCTCCCACACAGTGCTGGCATTACATGTGTGTGCCACCAGCCTGGTTCAAATAACATTCATGACAACCATGTAAAACCAACTCCAGGAATGGCAGGTCTGAACTCAGACAACTTGGAAACTAACTGGTTTATGCCAGCATTCTGAAAGCACCTCTCGAGTGGAGTGATTTGGTACTTGCCAAAAATAACAATTGAAATGAGGGGATTTTATTTTGATGCCATCTGTGAATAATAAAATACAAGACACAATTGACCTTAGATTACTATTCAGATTGAAAAGGAAACACTAGATTTTGTGACTTGTATTTTTCACAAGTCCAGGAAATTGATGCCTATACATTAACAAAAATGAATTTTGATCATACTATTTTTAGTTTATTTGGTGTAGGAGGCATGGAAAAGGAAGAACACAGACTTTTAGTATGTGTGCTTATCCCATGAGCAATATTTGGTTCTAGATAAGTAGGGAAAAATTCATATAGCTGTAAGAACCAATGCTGTTCTAGTTCAGTCTTCAATTACTATGGCTGGCTCTTTAAAATTCCAAAAACCCATTAGCCGCTTTCTGCAGTCTCTGGAATGTACCTCTGTGTTTGGAAGAGGATAACGCATGGGGAGGAGGGGAACTGCCCTCCTTATTTTTAGAAAAAAGAAAAATCCAGTTGCAATACGGGAAAGATGATTTTCTTTTCTTCCAGGCTCCGGTGTGATTTAATTTTTTCTCTACTCCTCCTCGTCCCTGTTAGAACTCACCCAGCCAGAGCACTGGGTCTGGGGTGCAGAGTTGGGTGGTTAATGTCAGTGCTGCAGGTCTCACCCAGCAGCAGCTGCAGCTACCCTGTTCTACTCTACTCTGTTGTCTTTGGGGTGCAGGACCAATGCTGAGATGGTGACCTTCAGAGTATATTTACTGGCCACTGGAACTACTTCTCATAGCTCAACTTTGCTGACAGAGGTGAAAGCTGAAGAAATGGATGCAAGAGCAGGAGCTCTTTTTAAAACAAAGAGACACCTTTGCTTAAAACATGGCCATTCCTTATAACCTGGCCTTCTCAAGAGCTCATGTTGTATGCCTGCAAATTCTGGTGTGGCTTCTCCTCCCCGGGGGCATTTGTGTCTCAAGCTGGAGACATAAAGCAAATGTGGAGAGACAGCTCTGTTTGGGTGTGGAAAGCAGCCAAAGGAAACCTGGAATGTGGCGGAAGTGACTTGCCTAGAGTGGGTTCCCAGAGGCTGGATTGTGGGTGCAAGCAGGCTGTAAGGTCCCTCAAGAACCTGGTTGCTTCTCATTTGGACGGCAGTTCTGAGTCAGCCCTGGGCCAGGTGACACTGGTTTCTGTCCTCCAAGGAGCTCTGAGTGCTTTTGTATCCCCAGCCAGGATCAGGATGCAATATGGGCCACATGCAATTAAGCACTAGATTGTGTGGCACATGCAGAAATCAATAACCCTTAAAGTTTCCTAGAATAAGAGTCGTTTGTACTGCATGATGAGTTCTACGTGGCTCTGTCTCATAGACAGAGACAGCTACAGTTGGAATAAATGCATTCACGGTGGAAATCTTTTATTTAAAAATTACATCTAGGGCTGGGAGGTAGCTTAGTGATAGAGTGTTTGCCTAGCTCTGGGCTTGATCAAGCCCAGCAAAAGTAGAATAGTCTGTATCCTCACGGTAAGCCTGTAAACATTTGTTGTAGTCAGTCTTATTTTTCTATCCAAATATTTCTTTGAATACTTTGAATTGCCCCCCACCATTTTCTGGGACCATAGACAATAATATTATCAAGTGAGTCTAAAGAAACACCTTCACGTTACTGGAGTTCCATTGTCATTGTTTGATTCTGCTACAAAAATCACTGCCTTTGAAAAGAAAACATTAGACTTTATGATGCCATTTTTACGCTCACCATCTTTAAACTGGAGTGTAAGCCGCAAACCATTTGTCACAGATTTAATATCATTCCTCGGCATTTCTTGACCACTGAGTGTACACAGCCCTAAATGATTCTCTCAGGGAATCAAGGCACGGCCACGCCTCACAGAGGTGACCCAGCTGACCTACCCTGGTTTATTCTCGTAGATGCGGTGATAGGTGCTAATGCAAGTGCATCTGTCAGTCACTCTACATGGGCAGTGTTCTTGCTTTATGCCTGACACTGACTCCTTTGGTGCTCAGGGCAACCCTGTGAGGTCCCTCATGTTGCACTCAGGCTCCAACGTCATGCATCTTCTCCCGAGTATGGCAGTGAAGTCGGGGCTGGGTTTTAAACACAGGTTAACCTGATTCTGAATACACCTATCAACTAGTCATACCGTGTGTGCACTTTGCAGTGCGAGTGCTGAGTATTTGTCATTTTCTCTACAGACTCATCAAAATGAAACCTGGAGGCTTTTGGCTGCATCTCACGCTGCTCGGGGTCTCCCTGCCTGCTGCACTGGGATGGCCGGACCCGGGAACCAGCAGAAGCCTGAACGCCAGCGGGGGGGAGTTCCAGGCAGAGGTACAGTCCAATGACTGCTGACCTGACCTTTCAAACCCATTGCTTTTCGATGGCCCGGTATCTGATTTCCCTTCCACTTTTAGTTCAGATCAATTAGGCCACCATGTGAATTAAAATTGCACTTCTTTTGTGGAAGGGGACAAAAGGAGGCAACACATGCTGCTGTGGGCAGGAGGTCTGTGTGGTGATGTAATGGCTGCAGAGTTGCTCAGTGCTGAGACGGATTCCAGGACCAAGCCTTGGTGGCTCACTTCATCTTCCAAAGGGACCCTCAAAAGGAGGGCCCTTCTGTGTATGTAATTTAAAAATGTGGTGGTACACATCCATGCTAATTAATGAAATATTCTAATTATGAAATATGTTTTAAAGAAAAGGGATGACTTTCTGGGTATATAAATAAAAGGCACCAGGCTGAGAAAAGAATTGGCAAGTGAGGGCCCCGAGGGAGCCTGCTTTAATGAACAGATAAGAATGATTAATGGCACGCTAGGTATATATAAATCCTTCTAAAGTACTTAAAAAATTTGCTCTCAAAAACCTCCCTGGAGGGTCTGGATGTCCTGCTAATTGCTGAGTGAACCCAGGTCCCAGTGCTGAAGACGAGGGCTCATAAACTGCACCCCACCCCTGCTCATGGTATCGGGCTCCAAGAATTTGAGGTTCTTCTGGATTGCAGACTTTTTTTTTGCAGAAAATACTTTGCTTGTGCTGAACCTTGAGAAATGACTACACCCTTTTATTCGAACCACCTGGGATTTTCTCTATGCCGTGGTGCGTGCTAATTCTTATCATGAGCTTTTCAGGCACCTGCTGTCACACTCCAGGCCTGCTGGTTGCCTTTCTTCTATACCCGTGTCCCATCCTGTGGGATGAGAAATAAAAATTAGCTCAAAAAGTCAACATTCGCAGGGAGTGAGTAATGATACATGGTGTACAGTAGGATTAATGCCTTATTTGATCAAACGACTCGAGTTCTCTTTCATTGCTACTTAATTGTCATGCAATCCCAAACCTGCAAGCCTTAGTCTTTGGGGAGCCTCAGAAGTAATTTAACACACACTTTTCCTGCTAAAGTTGGTGTGGTGTGCTTTTGTGACCAGATGGCTAGATGGTAACATTGCCTCTCCTGTCTAAAGCCATGAAGGACACACCTTGCTGCTCCTTTGTAAGAGTCCAGTGGCAGACATGCAGGTGACAGCAGCAATTCCCATGTGGGAAGGGCTTTGTCATTGCGCATCTATCCACACAAAGGCAAAACGATGGCTTAGCTGTTGCTGTGTACTGCCTCGTGTTTAGCAGCACAGCAGCCAGGCAGACGCACAGGTGTGCTTGTCTGCCTGCTCTTGGGGCCTATTGTCCCACCCCCTTAAGTCATTTATTTCAATTAAGATTCAAGCCAGTTAAGGGAAGCTTTTCCTGGAGGTGAAGTAAGCTAATATTACCCGGGGCCTCTTCCCTGAGCTGTTAACACCAGAATCCCAAGTGTCCCCATGAGAACCCACAGATGCCGCTCACGGCGAGGAAGGGGAGCCTTCGGGGTTTGGGGTTGCTTTGTGTCTCCTAGCTCTGGTTCTCCCAAGTTCAGGAAGGGACAGAGATGACTCTACAGAGTCCCAAAGGCAGGAACAGTGGTCCTATGGATCCTACTGGCCATAGCTTTTGTTGTTGCAGTGTTTTGACTTTTCCTTGAGTCTGCTTGGACCCCTGAGGAGCCTAGGTGTGGGCTAGGGCTCCGTGGGGCCTCAGTGGATATTTGCCTCCAGGGGCAGGACAGTTATTTTAATGGACTCAGTCCCACTCCACGCAGACCCCCTCCGGCGCCCTTACTCCTAGGATCCTCTGGCCAGGTGTCTGGTCCTTTGCTCCACATCTCAGAATCTTCCCTGCTCCAAGGTACATTCTGGTTTTTACCTTGTCTCTAGAATCTTCTTTGACACCTCCTTGTCTCTTTATCTCAGCTCTTGGTCCTTCTATCTTTCCTCTCTTTCTTTTTCTTTTAATTTTAGCACATGGATGAAGCCTGTCTTATTTGCCTTCCTTGTAGTGTCTGATAATTTTATGAGCAAATTAGAAGCTCCCTGTTTTTAAAGTCAATCAGTGCTTAATATCACATTCAGTCATGAAGCGATCTAAGTGCTTCCAAGATTCAGCCTAGACAATTGACCCTTGAGTGGGTGGTTCATTTCTCCACATAGCCAGGCCTTTTCTGGTTGGGATGTGCCAGATCTCCCCTAAAAACTGCCAGCAATTTCCAGGCCAGGTGCACCTGGGGCTTATCAATACCCAGCACAATACTGGTGTGTAATAGTCTCTGGATAGTTTCTTCTTTGAATTCCAGCTATTAACATACCCATAACTCACTGTCCAAACCATATTAAAGTCTTTCCTCAGGCAATTTTATTGAATCAAAATCAACAGAACTTCCTGAGACACTATATAAGGCAAAAACCTTCCTCAGGAACTGGGCAGCGAAATGCTTTTCTGTGTGCCTTCTTTCTGATAGTGATGCTTCACAAAATATTCATTGTAGTTTTTAAAGTCTTTGGAAAGCATTAATAAGATATGATTTGTCTTTAAAGTTATTATACCAATTACTTGGAATGTCCTGAGGGTAAATGAAGATTAAATGACCAATGGGCATGTGTTTGCATATTTTCCCAGTAATTACAGCAAGTGTGGATTTTATCAAATTATTGTTTTATGTATAGAGGAATGAAGTTAAAATAGCTCAGAGAAGTTTATCGTTTTATAGCTGTAGATAAAAAGAAACTTAGCTGGGTGGAGTGGCTTCTTAATAAGAGTTGAATAGCAGAACGTGGCGGAGAATGCTAATACAATTCTGGGACTGCAGTATGCTAAGGCTCAGGAATATTATAATTTCCTCCTTTTCCTTTTATTCTGGCCAAGATGCATAAACTACATGCTAAGCATCCCTAACCCGTGACCTGGCAGTTGTTGGCCAAGTTGATGTGACAAGTGGTTCTTGTGCTGGGTTGCAGTTGAAACTGAGATGCACTGAAAATACTCTCTAAAATTGCCCTGTGTTTCTGTATATGGGAAATAAATTTTGCATTCAGACTTAGTTTCTATCCCCCAAATATCTCACGTGTGTGCAAATATTTAAAATCAACAATAGCAACAGAACAGACCTGAAACACTTTTGGTCCCAAGCACCTCAGATAAAGATACTCAAACTTTAGTAAAATCAGTTTGGGTAGAATTTTCTATTTTTAGGAATCAAGAGACCAAAGACATGTGAGCTGTGACGTGGGGGTGGTCCCCACAGGACCAACCTGTTCTTGCGATGATCATGTGTGGAATCCCCACCGCGGGCCCTGGGTACCGTGTCCCAGCGCCGGGTCTGACACAGGCACTGGGTCCTGCAGTGGCATGGGGAGGCACCCTTAATGATCGCACACCCCCTCCATGTATTTTGCTGCACTTTTTCTTACCATAGTTAGGTTGTCAGGGACCTCATGACTGTAAACATGAAGGCTGATATTGCTTCCTTAAATATCATTTATCTTGTGCACCTCAGGGCTTGCCGTCCAGAAAGTGTAGAGGTAGACCCCACATGTTTTCAATATTTACAAACTCAAAGCAAAGTGTTTGGAGAAAACCCAAGGGAGGATGGCATTCACTGATGCCAGTGCGATTCCCTCTCCCTGGAGCATCCTGAGCCAGTGACAGCTTGACTGCTTTGCATAGGTGTGAGCCCTGGACACACCACTCCTGTCCTTGCCAGGTGGGGCATTCAGGAGTATTCAGGCTGTTAGACTAGGTGTGAATCTTTTCAAAACTCTTATTGTAAGGGCAACACTTTCCACCTTTTCTAGTGAAGTTCTTCCCGGGTTTCCTGGGGCAGCTCGGGTCACCTGTGAAGTGGAGACCAATCTTTCCATGTCTTTACTCCCCCTTCTGCTCCCGCTGTGTGTGGGCATGAAGAAAAGACCCTTCTTCCTTCCTGTGAATGGAGAGGTCTAGGCTGGGTGCTCAGCACCTTCTTAGGCTTCACCTGCATCCCAGACCTCTTGTGTAGGCTTCTGCCGTGTCACCTGTCCGAGCACTCAGGGTGTTGGGTGCCAGTACTCAGCTTGCTTTCAGAGACACTGAGACTCCCAGTGGCCTCTCGGCCCTTGGCCGCGGGTTACCTACTGAACCTGTTTCAGGAGGAGCCTCTCTCCCAGTGCAGGTGCAATGCTCTGGGGGAAAGGGGCCCTTCAGCTCATGGCTCTCTGCTGATTCCTCTATGTCAGGTCTATAAGTCAGTTTTCCATCACTGTGACAAAATAGATGAAAGAAGTCAACTTGAAGGAGAAAAAATTGATTTGGGTTAAAGGTTTTAGAGGTTTCAGTCCAGAATCACTTGACTCTCAGCTGGGGACATTTAAAATCCAAACTGTAACACAGAGCATGTGCATTTTAGTTTCTCAGATAAAATGAGGAGGGTATGACTTCCCACCTGCAGGTATATGAGTCCTGAGAACGTACCCATCATTTTCTGGGCCAAGAAGGGCCACAGATCCTCCTGTGTGTCCTCACTTGCAGAGTTAGTGCCTTTGTCCCCTGCCTCTGGGCCTCCTGAGTCTCAGCGTGCTCCCCAGGGTCTGGGTCTTGTTAGGTGTGAGCCCATGCAGTCTGGAAAGGCTGCATTTCTCACTGGATGGTGCCAGGACTTCCCCTCTCAGGGGATGCTGGGCAGAAACGCTCTGGAGGAGTCTCTTGGGCACTCACACAAGAAGGGGAACCCAGTGGGGTTGATCCTGGCCCTGGAAAGCTTTGGCTGACATGGCGATACTGATTGCAGTTGGGAAAACAGAGAAACCGGCAAGTTGCAGTCATGCTGGGAAATGGCTTGACGAGACCAGATTGAAGGGAGGAAGGTAAATCCGAGCAGCCCGGGTTCTGGAGTCATTTTCACTTGTCTTTAAGCAGGTAAGTCCCCTTGGATCTCTGAAGCCAAAGCTCCTCATTGGCTGATCTGTTAGTGATTTCAGTCC